CTCCATATTGTGTAGAAACTTGAAAAAAACAAAAAAACAAATGGTATATTAGTTTTAAGTATTTAGTAACAAATACATTAGTTTTAATTTTAGATATTTATGAAAATGAATGTGCAGCAAAGCAGGTCGGATAACCTCAAATTCAGGTGTAGCACAACACTCAATGTACGTTGTACGAGGTGAAAATGGATGTATATCCTTATTCAAAATTAAATGCGTAGCAAAGCAGTTCCGATAACCTCAAATTGACAATAGTTCTTCGATTGAATTTGCCATAAATAAAAAATGAGTGGAAACACTGAAAAAGATATACTACTTGATGAAGTTATCATACAAATGGTGAAACCAAACAATTTTATTTACGATAAGTCGAATGACAAATATTATACTGAATTTAGATCGCAACGAACACAAGTTTTCGAAACTATTTCCCAAGCGATTTATCAACTATACGAAGTGCACATTACAGGTGAAATTCATACACTATAAATCTTTATTTTAAATAAAAAAATATATATATGTATATATAATATTCATTAATCAATAATAGAAAAAGAGATTGAAGCGAGATGGTTCTATTTAGTAAAAAAATTTAAAGGAGAAAAAGCAAAAAAACGCAAATACCAGCCATCTGGATCAGAAAGAAAACCCGAAGTGACCTGGGAATTGTATAATGAGATGAGTTGGCTTGATCCATATCTGAGTCATGAACTACAAATTTCTTCAGACGACGTGGAGTTTATAACAAAATCTGAAATCACCAATAAATTTTGTCGGAAACGAAAAGTAGATGATGGCGATGACTTACAAAAAACCATTGATGAAAGCGTAAAATTGATGAAAATAATACAAAATAATGTAGCAACTACCACGACTGATCGAATGCCAGAAATTGAACCATTTTTAAAATTAATTGCATCTGGTTACAGTAAAATACCAGAATCAAGAAAATACCAATGTACGAAGGAAATAATTTTGTACATTGTAGAATTTAAGAAAAATATTGAATAAAAAAACGTGCATTTATAACCTTTAATTCTTATAGTTTTGTTATTTCATTGTTTACATATAAATATATATATATATATATACTATGAAAAACAAAAGGTTTTTTTATTATAAATTTTTAATAATGCTCACCATGTTGTAGGTGTATGTTCCATGCATGTGGTACAGCAACTTTTTGTAGACGTTACCTTTTGGATTATTGAACATATTATTTGATGTGATCCTTTCCATTTTCAGTACTGTGGAACTGGAACAATTTGTCTCTACCTATACTAAGTACCCATTCACAGCTCAAAGAAAAAACTACTGCAGCAACTCTTGCTTGATGAGCCATGTATTCTCGAATGGCTGTCATACGATTGTAATCGCTTTCCAATAAAAACTCCTACAAAACCAAAAATTCGTTTGATTCACAATTTTTGAAAAAATTATAAATGAATTTGATCTTGATAAATACATTTATACTACCATTATCTAATCCAACAAACAGCTGTCTGGTTTCAGGACAAAAATCAAGAGAGATTGGTGCTGCAACCATGTACATGCATACGCTTGGCCAGTATTGTCCTGAGTCACGTTTCAACCAAACTCTGACAGTTCTGCAATAGTAATTAGAAAATTTATTCATAACTAAAATACAGCAAAACATTGCTTAAAGGCCAGATAGATAAAGCAATCAGTCTGAATCATCCTATCTAAGAACTTGCAGATAAAGAAAGATTGTTCAGGTGTCATACAATTATTATTTACTTATAACAAAAAGCTTGCTGTTTTACCTATAATTTAATTAAATTATATATTACATGAAAAAATAGGAGTAAAAAATATGTACAATGCAAAAAATAGTCTGAAAAAAGTCTAACAAAAGATGCAAGTGACTGTACGATTGCTATTTGCATTATAAACAATGAGTCCAATAAGAGTCGAGCTAGAAGCATGCGATGTAAATAAATTAATCGTATATACATCATATAGATATGCATCGAGTATCAGAAGCATTGCAAACACAATAGAAAAGTGAGTCTGACCTGTCGTCGCAGACGCTGATGACGCCGTCAACCCTGGGAATGATAACGGCGGCATTGACGTCGTCATTGCAACCTTCGAGCTTCGACAGAAGTATAGGCTTCTTGGAGCTGAACTTGTCCTGGTTCATCCCGGGCGCGGGCTTGATTTCGGCTGCCATTGTGATTCTCTCACCTACCACCTGCCCTCAGCTACTACTGCTACTACAACTACTACTGCTGCTGCTGCTACTACTTATCATTTGACAGTTGACGGATTTCGAAAGCCTAACTCTTCGTGCATATGACTCTAAAAAGGGATTATGAAACTTGCAATTTTATGAAAATAAAAGTAGGAATTATTTACGAATTATTATTAATTACGAACTTACCGAATGAAAATTGGAGCAGGAACATGGAGGATAGCCAGAGCATAGAGACAGCCAGACAGGAAACTTCAAACCACGGGTACTGCCACTCCATAGATGCGTTTCTCGCATTCACTATGAAACTCGCCATTGAACACGAAATTATAGAGATGGCGTGCCCATAAAAAATCTCGGCCGGCTCGGACAGGCCCTATGGAGACAGACCCTTAGAGCTGCGCGCTGTTTAGCTATGTGCTCGCTTCATCTCTTTCTATGCTCACACTTTTTCCCTCTCTTTTTATTGTATGTAACCTGTGTGAACGCAGCGAGCGAACCTCTTTGTCCCCACTGCAACATAGATTTTACGACGTTGCCAGAATGTAATGATGTGACCGCGACCTATCAAAAAGCTGTTCGCAATGCTGTTGCATGACGTTTTCCAGTCACAAGAAACGGATTGTTTTGTCTTAATTACGATCAAACGATTTAATTCATTTATTTTCAATAATTCTTTTTTGACTTAACAAATTTTCATTGAATGTTTTAGTAAAATGAAATCTTGACGATCGTCATTTTATGATTGTTACGCAATTTTATTAATGATAATGGAATCATAGAACACATCTGACATCATATTCAATGAACTGTCACGATACAAAATAGTTAAACACACCGTTATGAAATTTGGTGCGCGCGCAACGAATTAATTATCTTTTGCGACATTTATACATCCTATAATAGTTTCTTAAAAAAGAATGCTTAGAAACAACAGTGATGCGAGTATCACAAGCAAATATCTGAGAATTCACCTTTGAATAAAAAATAAATTGTCTGCATTCATTATATGAGAATGAAATTAGATATTAATAAATAAGGTAATAATATCAATTAGATATTCATTTTTTCATATATTATATAAAGAAATATTTGATGATTTATTCAAAATGCATAACAAACACATGAATAATACTGATAAAATATTGATATATTATATTGCATCAACATTACGATTTGTATTCTCATACCATAAAATGAGAATTTGAACAATTGAATTCTGGCAACGCTGTAAAAAGTTAAAAAACGCAGTTTGAATTCAAAAGTTTCGTTTAAAAAGTTCGAAACCTTACACGAAAATCGTATGTCATCCATAAGCTATTCTAACTAATTTACCAATAATTGCATTGATCTTGATAATCTATCGGGAAATTCGATCTTTGTATTATAATAAAGTCTACTATTACTTTTTGCCTTTTCATAAAGTACACCCGTATGATGAAGCGATCCGAGCTGCGCCATTGCGCGATAGAAAAGCCAATCGTAGATTGTGCGTCTTTTACACGATTCTTCACGATTGGTTGATTCGGCTTGCGCATGCTTTGTAGGATTGTCTTATTTAATTCTCGCGATAAATATTTTGACGGTTATTTTGACATTGATTTATAATTAATTTGAAAAGCACTCAAATATAATGAACACCGCTTAAAGTAAATACTTGGCACAGAGGCAGACAAGTACACCCTTAGAGATAAAAATTTTGATCACAGCTCACTCACGACTATTGATTTAATAAAGCCAAAAAGCGCTCATATTTCGTTAAAAGTCATCACTGTGCCTATTTAGTTATAAATAAATTTCCGATAATATTCGAAATATATTTCTGACAAATATATACTGCATGAACTGATGTTGGACTCAGTGATGCCATGTATGTATACATATCTACAGTGATTTGAATGTTGATAATATTAGTTCGCTATAGAAGATAAAGAATCGTTAAAATTTATCTTCAAATTTTATAGGAAAAAATAAATATATAAATAATTAAATTGATGTGTATTCCATGACAGGAAATCAAATTGTTATTTAAATAGAATACATTACTGTAAGCTCCACAGGATTTTATATTACTTATGATTTAACTATGAGCACTTTATTCCCGTTAATGTACATTCGTTAGAAAAATAAAGCAGTACAGGTATGCAACATAAAAATATAGAGAATGAAACGATTATACTAATTTTTGCCACAATCGAAAAGTGAATGAAGACAAACACTTTATCAGAGCCCCATAAAATAGATGAATGAAACAAACATTCTGTCTCATCAGAGTCTAAATAAAATAATTTTGTTTTTATAATGATTCTGTGCCGAAAGTGAAAGTGTAAGAAATATTTAGTCTCTCTTTATATATAAATCGAATCTAAGCGCACCCGATATAATTAGGCGTTTTATGAGTTAGATTTGAAAAAAAGAACTAACACCCAAACTTATTCTTGGAATACTATTATATATTTCTAAATACTGCAATATAATAGTTATATTTTATAATTATTTATTATCCAATTAGGAATCAGCAAATGTATAACTATAGTTCATTCTTAACAGTTCAATATTGCATTCATTTTTCGATGCAAAATAGCTTACACGAATTAATTTTGACATATAATTTTGACGTACATTTGTGCAATATATGTGCATACTCAATATCGATAATCAATAAATCAATCAACTATGAACCAGAACAGAACCAGTGGTTTTCTAACTTTGGCAGATGGCGCTTGGACCCATCGACCGAGGAGCATGGAGATGGCGATAGTTATCACGGTGAGGGGAAAGAGACGAAACTACACATACACATAGTTACAGTAGTATCAGTATAGATATGTTTGCTTACAAACAAGTGGCGCGGTAAAATGCCAAAGCATATTAATAACAAAAAAACGCACATGCAGTCGCAATTATGAAGATCGAAGTTATTTTTTATCGAAATCAACTGAAATGTGAGCATTCATAGATGCTTTTACCTTGCTGACTGTCTTTAATACTTCTTAGTGAAACGAAAAACGAATGCAATACACGAGTGTTGAAACGGATTTGAAGCAAAATTGACTATTCGCGATTACAGTGAAATGTCAATAAACAAATATTTTGATTTGGAATTCATCGTAATATGCAAGCTGGTGTTTATTTAAATACATGAGTTTTCTAAGAATGTCAATTTAATCAAACTATTTGTTATTGTCACATTTAAATAACCAACGGAAAAATTTAGCTTCTCTTTACGACGGTAGGTGGCGATTGTTTGAAATTCAAACCATGTCAAATGTATTTAAAAAAGTATTTTTAATATGTTTTTATCATCTACAGGTGTAAATTTTTAAATTAAATCACCAAAATGGCATTAAATAAGAGTATTAAACACACTCCTGCTTCACGGAATGGATACTTATCCGAATTAACAGCTTCGAGTGTGAGTTCAATTGTTATCATTCAGAATTTTATCAAATAGTGAAACTAATGGGACATATATATTTGTATTGTGTTTTAGGGAAATAAAACTAATTTTTTACTTCCTGTGAGGATTAAAGTTACTCCAACCCATACTTGTCCACTTTCAGATGGGAAAAAGAATCGTAAGTTGAAAACAAAATATGCTAATTATATATTATTATTAATATTCTTTTTTAAATAGCTTCAAGAATGCTGCAACCAGTTTTAATAAAAGATTTATTAAGCTCCCACAAAGATAGAAATAGTTCAACTTTAACATCAGGTATTTGTTCAAACAAAATAGTTTATCTGATATATATATATATATATAAACTTAAATGTATATTTTTTTAGTATCTACACAAAAGAAGAAGGCTCGTCCCAAAAGATTGATGCAGCCATACTTAAATACTCAAAGTTGTCGTAAGCCAAAAAATGAAAATGGTAAGAATATAGCTTATTCAAATTATAGTATTAATAATTCTTAATCCCTTAAATAATTTAACATTTTTTCATAGATGAGGATTTATTTTTATTAAGTAGAAAATCATATGGGGAAAGTAAAGTCCGTAGACAGTTGTATCAAACTTTGGATTCTCCGCAAAACTTTGGGTTAGAAAATAAAGAAAATTCGAGCAAGACTGCAAAGCCAAAGAAAGTAAAAATTTGTAGTAATGAAGAATCTGAGTCTAGAAGTGCTCAAGCTAAGAACAAAAATAGACAAAGTTTTCTATTACCTCCTAATAGTATTAAAAACAGTTTCATAAATAAAACTGGAACAAAATCCAAAGTTCTGACTAGAGAAAGTGGAAAGAGTACTATTACAAATGTAAATAGACAAACAAATGGACCTTTACGTGTCATGGATACAAGAAAGTCACAAGCAGTTGCTCGAAAAAGTATCTTGTCAAAGGTAGAACAAAATGAAGTTGTAGAATCAGCTTATTCAACACCTGACTCAGGTGATAAACAACAGTCATTGTATACTACACGAGATAAATATACAATGACATCTCCTCTATTTAATCGCTGTACATTTTTATCGAAAAGTACATCTGATTTGAGAAAATTTGAAATCAGACCATCAGTTATAATGAGTCCTTCAAAAAGGAAGAGTGAATTGAACAACCGTAATAGTATAGAACTTCCTTATTCAAAGATGCAAAATCTGAGTAATATCAAAGAATTACAGAGTTGCCCTCAGAATGATCAAATTCATATTCAGAGATTTCAAAAAACAGAATTTGAATTTTCAGGAATTAATAAATTAGATGCCAAAAGTATGATACAGTTTAAATCTTTTCTTGAACAATCTATTGAAACTTGTGAAGCTCAAGTCTCAAATCTGAAACAAGTATTAAGTTTTGTTAATACTATGCTAAGCAGTAGTAACACAGAACCATGTATGAAATCAAATGAAAGTTTCAATGATACCGAAAAATCGAATATATCTAGTAAATTTAACGTTTATTATGATAAATCTGACACCACCGAAATTGTCGAAAAAAGTATAAAAATGAATAATTTAACTTTTGAAGCAGAGTTGTTAGGCGCAGAAGTTAGCCACGTTAAGCCATCAGATTTAGCAGAAAAAATACCAAAAGAAAAATTACCATTGCCTATAAAGATCTTGGTGAATGAAGTAGATAAAAAACAAGAAGCAAAAATGTCACCGGTAAATCTAAGCGACTTGGCTCGTCTGTCAACAATTGGTGAAGTATCGTGCGAGGGTGACGAGTTACACAAGTATGAATATGAAAATAAGGAAAATCAATGCAATTTGCACATCACCCCCACAACACCGAAAACTCCAAAACAGCTAGTACGAAGATCGTACTGCGACTCCTCCAACCGACGACGATCTGCCAGATTGGCAGCCAAGCGGTTGTCGATTTCAGAATCAGATAATCATGACAGTTTCACGATGCTGGAAAACGAGTTGAACGTTGAACATCCAACTTCTTCAAAGTCTCTACCTGCATCGCCAATGAAAGCGCCAATGGCATCGTGGAACATTAGACAGTGGGATAAGAAAGTTGAGCGACCACTTAAAGAATACATGGCTCTTAAAATGAACGGCACGTTCCTAGTAACTCCCGACGTTAAGAGGTTCCAGTCTTGTCTAGATCTCGAACCTACAGATACACCGCACTCCAGAAAGTCACTGTCACGCAAAATTTTCATGGAACTCTGTGACCTTTATGGCGAATCTCCTGAAAAGTGAGGGGGTTTAAATTTTTAATTCTAGAAGATTCGATTATTTTTCTAACAGTGTTAAATTATAAATTTTGTTTGTTTAATTTTTCTGAAGCTATAATTTCAAAGATCATTATGCATACCAGCTATGTTAAACTTCATTAGAGTAATTTATAGTTAATTTGACAATGAATATGATGTAAGGATTTTATTCATAATTTCTCTGTAGAGTACTATTCTTGAATAATTTATAATTATAATATTTTGCATAATATTTATCTGCAATTGAAGTCTAACATATAGAGATATTTTATGTAATTGAACTAAGATAAGAAGCTTTTTTCAGCCATTTACACAGGTTTTTAATGTTCAGAAATAAACATATTGAATTTATTAAAAATTGATATTTATTAACACTATGTACAAAAATACTCATTCACACTTGTATTCAACAAATATACTAATATCTTTCATATCTCTTCTTCACTTTCATTGTCAGTATACTCTATTTCTGAACCAATAAGATTGTCATCACTATTATTTGCAGCATTTTCTTCTTTTTCTGCCTCCTTTATAGAAAAGTCAGAACGTAATACCATACATGATAATTTTGATGTCAGATAAACTTTCTTCAACAATGCCTTTGAATTAATATCATGAACATACAAGTGCCTGTCCAAACCTACACTAACAACATAAGGCTCTATTCTGCTAACTCCAATACTTGTGACTGCACCAACTGGTCCCTTATATGTATTTAGTATTTTACCAACTTTCCTTAAATCTATCAAATTGATTCTACCTCTTCCTGTTCCACAAACTACTTGTCTATCATTAACACAATTTGACAGTGATTTCAAAGCCTCTCCTGTCATTTCCAAGTTGATAACAGGTCTCCTTTGAGCTTTAGTATCATACAAACGTATATGACCATATTTACCAATGGTAACAATCTTTGTATTGTCTGTTAAAAAACATATGTCTGTAACATTGACAGGTACTCTCAACTGTAGCCAATCGTTTGACATATTCTTAGCAGTGAAAGTATTAACATTCTTCTTCAAATCAAACAACTTCAATGGATTTTCATTTCCTCCCACAGCAATGATATTTTTCTGTTGATTAGATTGACGCATACGCAGTAAATTTCCACCAACATTTAGTACGTTTTCTTCCCTCTCACTGTTTTTCCACAACTTCACATGGCCAGAATCTACTGCAGTTAAAATATGACTGTCATACCTTGCAATCCCATTGATGTTACCTTCTCCGAGATCGCAAATAAACGACGTCTTGAAGGTATGACTCTCAGAGTCGTAAATCTTAATACTTCTCACACCTTTTGAACCGCACCCCAACAAAATCTCCATCTCGTGATCATCACCCCAGGACATACAAGTGACTTCATGATGATTGGTGATAGAGACTAAATTTTGTATATTTTTCATCACGCATGATTGTTCCTTGACGTTCACTCCTTTGAAAATCCCTGACTTTCCACCGACAAACACGTTAAAATTGTCTTTGTAAGACATTTTTGCCGATATCAACAAAACCGCAAAATCATAAATTTGATGAACTAACCACGACTCGAAGTTATAGGTATACTTTGACAAAATAAGCGTGGTCAACAGCAATGCTAACCTCAAATGTTGAGCGGAATCACATGGCTTTTACTATATATAAATATACATTATATGCGGAACCGATGCCGCGCTCAAGTTTTGAATAGGTGCGCTTCGCAGACGAGTTCTCTACAGTATTACTGCAAAACTCGTCTAGTTGCGACTGCCTTTATGTATTGAGTTGTCATAAATAACGTAAAATAATAAAAAAAATACAAATCATGAGATCCACAAGCAAGAAAATATAATAAAATGAAAGCGTAACTAAAATTCAGCGATGTTGCAGTAGAACTGGTCTACTTCAGTCAGGCAGCAATTGTTCGTATTATTGCGAATTTCATTCAAGTGGAGTTACTAATAAAGGATCTACCCGAGTAAATACATTTGAAGATGGAAGCAAAAGACGGGACGATAGCCGATCTCTAAAATTGATATAGTTTCTAGCGATAGTAGGTGTTAATTGCACGCGTGTACGCGTGTACGTAAACAGTTCGACGAATGACGCGATGTGAGAATGATTTTGTTGTCCACCAATTCGATAATTAATTCGGTGAATGTCACATGGCAACTTTAATATGTGCATGATAAAATGAAATATAAACGAATGAAAGAAAAAGTAGGCTCCTTTTAACGGACACAAAACATGATTGGTTCGTTCGATTTGCCTTCTAATTTCAGCACACATGCGACAGTAACTGTAAGCCAAAGTTGTGTTTTTACCACGGTTGAATTATTCATTTCAACGAATTGTTTTGAGAAAAACGTCATTTTCGATTTGGCTTTCGTATATTGTCAAAAGCGCGATATACGCAATTCCATAGTTCAAATGTTTATCTCACGAGAAACATGTTAAAAACTGAAAATAACGATTCGGTATCTTTAATGTTAGAGCAAAAACGCGCTTCTAAGCGAAATCTCGCCAAATCCGATACACCCTGTAAGAGTCCATATGTCACTCGACGCTCACGATAACCATCGCACCGCAGCAAATGCTTTGCCAAAGCTCATCAAGTACAAATAACATTTGAAATTATCGAATTTCCATTCAATTGCGTACAATAAAATCATTACCTTCCAAGCTCCAAGCTCGCCTACAAAAAAATTTACTTTGCGAAATTCCACGTGCGATCGTATATAGCGAAAGCGCAAAATGCTACCGAAACCGCTTAAATACACTCAACGCGACGTTGGTTTCCTTGAAATGTCTCGTTTAGGCTTGCAAGCTGATTTTTGAGTAGTCGCCGATGCCTCGGTCAGGTCACCCAATCAAAAAGTTGATGAAGAGCGAAATTATCGACAAATCCTAGAGAAGTACGGCAGAGTGTCGAAAGCTCTGGAGTTGCGAGCGCTCGAAACGAGACTCGACTGCTCACTTTGAACTTGAATAACTGGACGAGCAATCGCTCGATCGCCGAATTTGACGGTTCGGCAGTTAGTTTTGTCTTTGTGCTGCGAGTCGGACAGTCGCGCGCCAAGTGCGCCCAACTCGCAGAGGTAAACGAGGACGTTATCGTCCAGGGGTGCGACAACCCGCGAAAAGTGGAATCTCGAAAAAAGCGTCACTCGCGGTAGTTCGCGTGCGTTTCCGTGGGGATTTTCGATTAGAGGGTAGCCTGATAGTTCGAGCCGTTCAGCAAGAGCAGAGCAGTCGGGCAAAAGGTGCGGCGAGTGATGAAAAATTGGCCGGGAAGTAGCGAAAGTGTGCCGCCAGGAGAGCCGAAGATGGCCCGTCGGAGGCGCAAGTACGCCTGGGTGTCTCTCCGAGGTCCGCGCTTGCGCATGACCACCGAGTGCCGGAGTCGCGGCGCGCTCACAACTGACAGTCAAGCGGCGCAGCCAGCATCCTGCTATTTCTAGTATCCGCACACACGTCCGTTCGATCGAATCGACAACAGGCATCGCCATGGCAGACAACGAAGCAAACGCACCAGCTGCAGCCCCGGCACCGACGGCAACGAAAAAGGCAGCGGCCAAGCAGACCAAACCCAAGAAGCCAAGGACCAAGCCCAACCACCCGCGCACCTCGGAGATGGTTAACGCCGCGATCACCAACCTGAAGGAGAAGGGTGGCTCGTCGCTGCAAGCTATCAAGAAGTACATCGCCGCCACGTACAAGGTCGACGCCGAGAAACTCTCACCGTTTTTAAAGAAGTACCTTAAATCCGCCGTTGCCACCAAGAAGCTGGTGCAGGTCAAAGGCAAGGGCGCTTCCGGCTCGTTCAAGCTGTCGTCCGCTAAGACCGAGGCCAAGGTGGTGAAGAAAACCAAGAAGCCGGCCGCGAAGAAGACCAAGCCCACGGTCGCCGTGAAAAAACCGGCCGCCGCAAGCAAACCCGCGGCTAAGAAGGCAGCGAGCGCCAAGAAGCCGGCAGCCGCGAAGAAACCCGCTGCCGCCGCAGCGAAGAAGAGCTTGAAGACGTTAACGAAGAAGGCCAAGCCCGCGGCTGCCAAGTCCAAGGCCGCTCCCAAGCCTAAAGCGTCCGCTAAGACCAAGGTGGCACCCAAGCCCAAGGTGGCCAAACCAGCGAAGAAGGCTGCGGCCAAGCCGAAGAAACCCTCGGTGAAAAAGGCGGCGGCGAAAAAGAAGTAGAGACCTGTTGAGTGAGTGCGCGGTCAGGAGCAACAGAAAACCGGCCCTTTTCAGGGCCAACAATTAGCCTATATTTAAGCATAGAAGACTTATCACTTGGATTGATATTCATTCTATTTATTTCTTTTCGTCATCATTGATTGTACATATTGCATTATGAGGATACGAATATAATTTTCTTATTTTTAATAAATACTGTTTTTTTTACAAGATACATTAGCACGTTTTTATACTTTCCCCGCTCCTTCCATTTACTTTCTTATAATCTTTTTTAATCTCAACATTTCTATGATTTCATTCTATTTGTAAAGTTTGAAGTCCTTGAACTGAACTGGATTTGTTAAAAACAATACATATTGTTACAAAATAAAGGAATAAATAAACTAAGAAATAACAGATAAATCTTCCAGTTTCCAGTTTAAGCGTGAGTATGATAAATTGACTTCTACTACTTAAAATCGAACGTCGGCCCATGGCTGTTACTTGTACTACTTGACCAGATGTTTCGACGGTTAGCGAACACAAAGCCGCGTGATCAACCGTAAACTTTGGAGGATAATATAATTGTCAAATTTTTGTACCTCGTAAGTAGGATATATATCTATAAAGTAATATTAAAACGCTGGTTTAAAACATTTTTGAATATCATTGATAGAAATAGTTTTATTTCATAAAAACTATTTGTATGATATTTTAATCACAAAACGGTACTTACTACTAGAGTCTAAGGCATCAAATCAAAAAAGGAGAGAAGTATCTTTGTTTTCACAAGCCAGTGTTCTCATGCAGGGTAGGGGAACAAGCGCAGAAACGACAAGTCTCGCCTCGATAAATCTGAATAAGCGTAATTCGTTACAAGTACGGCGGGGCGCCACCTGGGCTCAACTTGCTATCCCCGTCTCTTTCTCTATTTCTGTTTCTCTCTCTCTCTCTCCCTCTCTCTTTCTCTCTCTCTCTCTCTCTCTCTCTCTCCCTTTCAAAAGAGATGGAGAGAGAGAGAGAAAGAGAAAGAAAGAGATCAGTACATCTCCTCGACTCGGTCTCGCTCACAGCAGTAGCGGAGCTAGCATTTAAATAGCCGATTCAGAATGGCGGTGTGGTGAGGGTGGGAGCTCCGAGTGTTTTTATTTGTCTCCGATATATACACACGCGAGTAAGAGAGACACGATCTCAGTTGTGAGAGCGTCGCCTTAATTATGTGAGGAGTCACAGCCACACTCGTCTCCTAGTTTTTTTTACTTTCGCGCGTCTCTACGCCAGTAGCAGCAACAGCAGTAGTCATGGCTCGACCGAAGCATCGGGCGAACGTCGATGTCTGCGCCGATTGCAGCTCTCCTGGTGAGTATGTGTGCCTCCTAGTGAAAGTTTGACACGAATGCGAGTGCTATGATTCATAGGCTCATGATTGCTCATTCTGGAGATTCGTTTTACTTTGTTTTTTTACGTTATTATATGCTATGTTTGATCCAGCGCCTCGGGACGACTCATGTTTTTATTTTGTTCTGTAACTAGCTAATCAAATGATTATTATTCATATTTTATATTTTTTTAATAGAGCCTGCATGGGCCTCAGTAAATAGGGCAATTCTGTTGTGCGATGAGTGCTGTAGCATACACCGGAGTCTAGGAAGACATGTATCATCCATCAAGTCATTGACTAGAGGTGTTTGGAGTACAAATATGTTAAATGTAAGTTATCTTTTATAAGTATTTTCTAGAGTTATAAATTTAGTCTTTTTTTGTTTTAAATTAAAAGCAATCGATCAAGTATTGTTGATTAGCTTGAGCAGTTAAAGTATTTTCAATGATTTACCAAATTAGTATTAGTATAATTATAGTAATTAATTGCTTTTGAAAGTTGAATATTCTAGAAGAATTAATTGATTTATAATAAGTAAAGTAAAAAAATATTTAAAAATATATTATGTAAATAATATTTTGGAAATTAGTATTGCAAACGTAAATCGTTTTACCTTATGTGCTTTAAGTTTTATAAGTCAATGATGTTTTTATTGATTTAAAATTAAAACAAGTCTTTTTTAATATATTTACACATTCATTTATAATTTATGTTTTGTAGATGGTTCGTACATTAAATGATAATGGAGCCAACAGTATTTGGGAGCATTCCCTCTTAGATCCCAGTAATTCTAAAATTAGCAGAAGGAAACCTCAGCCAAAAGATCCTTTACAGTTAGTGACTTTTTAACTCAGAAATAATATGAGCACTCAAAGATTTATGATTTTTGTAAAAGTTACGTTTTTCTTTTTGAATTTCAGCCCTGTGAAAGCAGATTTTATTAAAGCAAAACATCAAGAATTAAAATTTATTCTACGTTCATGTAAAGAAGATAGTTGCAGTGAAGAGGAATTGAGTAGGCAATTACATAGTAGTGTTCGTACAGGCAATTTGGAAACTTCTCTGAGACTCTTGGCTCAAGGAGCAAACCCAAATTATTTTTACAAGGTATTGAATTTTTTAAATTAATACTAAATTCATAATTTATGAATGACTATATCAAATACATTTTATGACATAGGAAAAAGGGACAATGCCTTTGCATGTTGCTGCTCGAGCAGGACAAGCTCTCCAGTTGGAATTACTTATTGCTAATGGTGGGAATTCTAGTCTGGTAGATTCAAGTGGACATACTCCTGCAGAAGTAGCAAAGTACATTATACAAAACTTATTATATCATTCAATCATTAATACTTATGAATTAGTATTTCATACAATTAATAAAACTACAGGTTGGCTGGTCATTTAGATTTATCAGAAAGATTGATTGAGTGCATGTATGAAGTAACAGATAGGTTGTCATTTTTTTTATGTTCTCGTAAACCTGATCATAAGAAAGATGAACATCTAATAATTCCTGAATGGGCATCTACTATCGAAAGAAGTGAATTAGCCTTTGAAGCACGAAATAAATTGAAAATGGTAAAAAAATCGCAAATTCAATCTTACCAATAGATAGTGGAATTTTTTATTTTTAAATTTAATTTAATCTTTTAGTTACCAAACCATTTATTGGAAGAACTCGTTTCCGATGTCTATGATGAGGTAGATCGTCGAGAGACCGATGCTAGTATGTATTACTCTTTTTCTTTGACTGAGTAGTTTGTAGTATAAGCCAGGTCCTTGAGTATTAATTATATAGATCTCGGTTGATTATGAAGAAAACACAATCTATCTCGTAACTTGTCGTCTTGGTTTTCCTCTGTATAAATCGATACCACTATTAAACTAGAGTCTATATTATCCCATCATCGCCATTACCATTTCAAAAATCATCTAGTCCACTGTTAACTCAATTAATTGTGCTACCTAGTTGACCTATCTATCAATGTTATTAATATATGCATGAACTTTTTCAAAATGCTATTCTCAAGGAGAGGTAAGTAGGAACTTATCGATTGTCTACTATTCATTCTCTATTTTTACCTTTATGCCATGTATAATAGAATAGATACCATCATTCAAAAACTTACAGCATTATCACACGAGTAATTTCGCTTCTAGAATTTGCACTATTAGAAAAATAGTACGTCACTCTACGCAGACTCAAATGATCATCGAATTAATGTTATTATTTTCTAGTTTTGCGAAAGCATGACCTATATTGTTTGAGCCCCACAATTATTATTATTATTGTCGCCTTGATGTGCCACTGCACATAGATCCATAGTAAACGAACATCATCAACATACTAATGAATCATTTTTGCTTTGAATCTAGTTTGGCTGTCATCAGCGACTATTCCTGAAAGATGTATAGTGCCATTTCTGCCGATTCATCCGCAGCTATCGTCAACGCGAAACCAGGGACGACAAAAACTCGCAAGATTCACTCCAAAGGAATTCGCTACACTGATCATTGATATTCTAACTGAGGCCGGCCAAAGGCAAACTCTCGCCAACAGTACGCCTCTGCAAGGTGAATATCATTACGATAACCTTGACTATCCTAATTATTATTTAGTAATGATTCCAAATCATTATACATTTCCTTGTATCTTTTTAAAGATTTTTCGTTTTCTAATCAATTATAATAACAAAAAGAAAACTTATTTGCAGATCCAGCGGTGATTATGTTACGTAAGGAGCAGTTAAAAAAACATGGATCCCAAATGTCGGACGATGAGCCACTTTACGATAGCGTCGCCTCTGACGACGACTATGCAGCACTTACCTCGGACGGCATCGCTGGATTATCCTCGATAACATCAGATAACGAGGTACCGTAATAGTTTCATTTTTCGTTTAAGCCAGACGCGCATATTTAGTGTTTCATTAGCTGCATATTAATACTTATAACTCTATGGAAAACGATCGAGAAACAAATCAAAACATATGAAAATGAAAAAAAAGTTAATTTCATAGTAACGTTCGTGGATCGATTATTTTATTATTACACACTTGAAGGTACTTGGAGAGAAGCAACGATTAAAACATCGACTGAGCACGTGGCTATTCTGTAGACAGTGTTACTAGGCAAGTTGGGCAGATTTAGTGTTTGTGCATGCGCCGCCAAAAAGCAAAAGTTGTTTATCGATTTTTTTTCAAATCTCATTCATATTTCATCTGTATAATACTTCGAATTATGTATTATTACGTCGAAAAAAATCCGTTCTCTCATCTATTGACAGTAGTTATATAAATTAATCATTGATGAAGGAGTTAAACTGCTTAAATAATTCATGATATTAAAGAAGAAAAAGCTTGAGCTTGCATAATGCTACGAGTAATGTAGGTTGGCGCTGAATTAAAAATAATAATGTAATTTAATTCCATAACTACGTGTCAATAACCATTGCAATTACTCAACCAATGTAATCGTTTCATGGAATTTATTTAATCCAACAATTATACAATTTATTTAGTCCACGTGCTCCTAACCCAACTGTCGTTATGTTCTTCAGACTGTAAAATATGTTCGCGAAGCGCAATTAATGAGCCATAACATTATAAATCGGTTATTGTTTTGCAGAAGGCACTGACTCCGATGGCAAAAGGTTTGCCATCAGTCGTGGAAGTATTGAAAAAACAATTGACTCTATCGGAATCCACGACGAGAAATCTAAAAGAGGAAGTTCGACGACTTCAACGAACAGTCGATCAACTAATGCAAGAAAATCGAGAATTAAAAATCGCAATACAAGTAAGTTCAACTTTATCAACGAATAACAATAATGCTATATATAATTTATAATTAGAATGTACTTCCTGCACAGGCACAAGCAAGATTACAAGTACAACCGGAAAAGGTAATAAACGGTCATATAGGTGAACACGATGAATTGGAGCCTGTCTTAGATGTCAAAGTCTCAACGCCTACAAAAGGTAGTCAGCGACCTGTATCGATGTACGAAACACGAGAGGGGCCCAGAAAACCATTGAGTTTTATGAATCAGGTATCGTCTTTTATCCATTTCGGTTAGCTTGAAGTTACATACAGTTGATTGTATTGTAATGTAATATATTTATTTTGCAGACTAAGAGAGAAACAGAAGGATTGCCGCGTCCTTGCACGACGCAAGGATTGTGGGAGTGTGGCCAAACTAGTCTACCACCCAGCGATGAGGTGACAAGACGAACGGAACAAGTTACAAGACGTATTCAGGAATTGTGGATGGCCATGCAGGATCCGTTACATCGCGAAGCTTTTGTACCTTGCGCGGAACGTATCCGCGTTGCTGTTGCTGAACTTGCAGCTATTTTTCCTCAGGTGTGCATATAATAATTATTAACGTTATTTAAGACCTGCAAATATTAATCTGATAAATGGGATTTACGTGCGTTGTACTCATAAAATTTGTCTATCGTTACAGAATCCGATAGATGACAATATCAGATCAGCTTTGCGTCAATTGAACGGTAACACGGGTCGGTTGCAAGCAGAGTGCAGCGCTTTGCAGAGATGTACCAGTGACCTCGATCATATGGATCGTTGCCTTCAGCAAGTTCGTTCCAGTGCCTACGACATCGCCAAAGCCACTAAGCTTCTTGTCACGCAATTTCAACTATCGTAATTTACACAGTCACGAACGTATTTATAACAAAAAATTACGGTTGTCAAACATATTTATAACAAAAATATTCATTCAGTGTGCAACGCGTGTATTGTTATGTATTATCGTATATATAGATATATTTTAATCGAAGAAACTGAAAAGATTCTATGAAATTTGATGAGCTGCGATAATAATTGGCTCTCTTCTAATAGAATGTTTTAAAGGCCTTTTTGCCATTACAGAATTATGACAATTACTCAGATTTTTCTTTCTATTAGATTAGATGTATTTTGTAAATATTCGTGTGTTCTTTGTAAGAGGAATTGATTTCATTCAGGACCGAATAATATTGATTCGGTTGCGAATTTGTTATTAACGAATACCTCTCGAAGGTGCAATTAAGACTGAATTAGATTTTTTTTGTCAATTTTCACTTTATTTTCAAATTCTGTCTGTCATTGATGCTAAGTGAAACGGGCTTCCGTTTGTGTATCTATTTTTGTAATAGCGTTAGTAAAAATTAACTTAGACTTTAACCACGTTACACTCGTTGAAGTAATTAATTGTGCAATAATAACAGTACCTTTCTCTAATGGGAAACTTTTTATCATTATCTTTTTTTTTGACATCGATTTATACAACATAATCTACTTAATACTGCATACATGTATGCTTAACTATTGTACCTACGAATTTGGTGCTATGCGGATAATATACGGCCTCAGAAAGAGTGTTACTTGTTGGTTGTCAAAAGATTACATGGCATTGCCTAGTAACTTAGTAACTTAGATGCTAATAAAAATTAATTGGATAAGCCTAACTTACAACTCGATGGTCTAACATATATATAATAATAATGAAAATATACTGATATTATTAACATGTTCATCGAATGTCGTTCGAAATATTTGACAAGTACGTTTATACTATGCCCATTATACGCTTTTATCGCTGTAGACTCACGTAAACAGTCTCATGTGTACACTTATTTGTAGAATTGTACATTTTATACTTTACAAATTCCATCACAGACCAAATCAAGGAAAAAAAATTGTTTATTTGTAAATTATATATGAAATTAAGCATACTTGCGTTTTATGTATCTATATATATTTTCTTTTCTTGCACTTTCTATGTATAAACCAGTCCATGTGTGTGTGTATATATATATATATACACACACACACCGTAATAATAAAAGTTTTTTTCCGAAATTCAGCGTTTGTTTTGCAGAACTCTACAATTGAACGTCATTTTTTCTTTTAACCTAGATAGGCAGAAACATTCTCAATAGCGATTTCTTAAATTTTGACAAGAATGGCTGAAGTAAGAGAAGAAACGGCAATTATTCACACGTATCCGATCGTCAAGGTACTCGCCAATGATCAATCAGGTTAAAAGAACAAGAACCTTTGCGACTTGGATTTCATCCCAGCATACAGACATGCAAGACGACATGAAACAGGAGGCGATGGAAGTGACAGTAACGGCAGTGGAGAAGTACTCGGACAACTACGAAACGGCCGCGCGGATGGTGAAAGACAACATGGACAAGAAATTCGGTGCCCCGTTCAACGTGGTCATCGGCGAGGCTTACAGTTTCAGCGTGACATTTCAAGAGAAAACGTTTCTGCTACTGCTCACTAACGGTAACGTTGCCGCGCTTATTTGGCGAACAGTGCCGGGTTATTGAACGAGACGATAGGCAGGTGTAATTACAATAAATTTATTGAACGATCAAGTCACAAATTACTTTTGTACGAATAGTGCATTTACAAATTAAGCATTTGTAAATCGTTATCTTTATGTGAAATATTATAGAATAGCGCCATAAAAATTTATTATATCACGTGTGTATATTGTAAATAACATCGATTACTTTTTTTCTTCCTTTTTTTTATAATAGAGATAACAAGTTCTTTGGATTGACGTTGGCAAACAATAAGCACGTTGCAAGCTCAGGCAATGAGTGAATTTTGTTTCCTTCCGCCTAATTTTAGCGTTGTTTAATTAATTGGACGTTTAGTTTCGTCGTAAGGCCTTTTTTTTATCGGACGTTCTCTCACCCTGCATAAAATACGAAAAAGAATTTTCGCGATAGTAAGAACAATGTTCGCGGTCAAACACATTCGACTGCGCTATATGACCTAACACCTAAATATCATGTGTATATAAATTGGTGTTACTTTTTCCTACGTTACAAAATGTAATTACGGTAAGCTCGCAGTAGAAATGACTAGTTCAGTGCATAGTGACTAAATATACTGTACTAATGTATAAAGATAGAAATATTAAGTTTAACGCACACCGTGAAATACTTTCATGCCATATTGTATTCCGGTGCGCAACTGTTATTTGGCAGTGCTCTTGTTATCTACTTTGGGAACTGCGTAGAATCTACGATCGTCGTCAAGTAAAGGAAAGCTCGAAATTTCTTAGAAAGTGATTTGTACTCTGGTAAATGTGTACGTATACGAGAGCCTTTTCGGCCAAATTGTCGAAAGATAATTCGAATATCGCGCGCAACTAACTGCAAATTGAAGAGATTGAGCGCGTAAATAAACTTACGACTGAGTCAATTTGTAATGACCAATAAACAAACTGCCATAAGTGAATATTTGTCTCAGTCGTGAAAGACAACAGGTGAATAAATCCGTGAAAGCTGTAGCTTGTCTGATCTGAGAACAACCAATATTAGGCAGACTTCCAGATGCAGATGGCGAGATTGCCGGCACAGTACATGTAGAGCAGGTGCTTAAGCTGATAGGTGATCTCGAAGCCATAGCCCTCGCCGACGACGGTGTGCCAGGAGGCGCCGAACTTCTTGTCCATCGTCTCCTTGATCATCCGGGACACCGACTCGTAGTTATCGGCGTACTTCTCGGCTGCGGTTACGCACAGCTCCATGGCCTCCTGCTTCATCTCGTCCGTCATGTCGCATTTCTGCAATGTGCCAATTATCGCTCAACAAGCCTTCGCTGAAGCGCACACTCGACGGCACGCAACGAGCATTTCGCGAAAGTGAATGGCAACGCACGGCGCACACCCCGGACGATTAGCCGCGTAGTAATTTGAAATTGCAAGAGATGCTCTGTGGGTGCGGACGCACGACGTGGGGCCTCGTTGTAATCGAAAAGTCAAACGCGTACTCGCTGCGACACGAGAAGCAGCGCCCGACTTGGCCAGGGGGAAAAGCAGGTGTAGGAATGAACAGAACGCAAGAGAGCATCTCTGTGGCTCTGTCGCCGCGCGTCTATCGGCAATATTGATCGCGACGCGCTGTTAACAACGGCGAGCGCGTCTCCGGAGGCACTGCTTTGCCATGCAATCTTCGCGTGCCAAAAAGTAGTGCCATCGTACGCGTCACGCACTGACACTCACCCGGCACAGCGGATAGGTATGGAGAATCTTGACGACCTCGTCCTTCTTCGCCTCGGCCATGCTCGCGCTTCGCTAACCGATCATCACTGACTCACGACATGCCGTCAAGCTCGCCGTCGCGACGCCAATCTTGTGAATGGGGGAGGGATAAGACCACGACATTTGCTCTGCGAAAGGGGCAGCGGATAAATTATAACCCTGCGATCGATCATTCTTACCCGGAAGCGCGCGCCTCGTCTCTCGCGCTCGAATTTTTCTCGTCGCTTCACCTTTTTATGCAACGATTTATTATTGTGCATTGCTTATTAATAAGAAAATCACTTTGCTGTTATTTATAGGAAATAGCGGTTGCTTTCGTCCCATTGAAGTCGCTGATAATAACTATACTGATTAAGTATAGTATCAACTTTTATGTGGGATAGTTGACAATTTACAAATTCGTTTTTTTTACAACTGAAATTTCCAATGTTTTATGTGCTTTCGACGATCACGATAAAATGTCCTACGTCAAAACGAATAGGGAGGTGGGGATTCGCGGAAGCATACTGATACGCTATATGCGATACAGACATGCGTTCAGTACAGTGTTTTCAATCGTAAATCGAAGTTCCGAAATATGAGGTTGCAGGTAGTTTAAACAGAGGATTTGCAATAAATTTGATCTCTGCAATAAAAAACAAATTTGCTTCACCTAGTTCACGGGCTGAAAACGATAAATTGAAACAGCGTGTAACAAGCGGCAATACTTATCTGTCTTTATTATTTCTTTTTCTACTAGTGTTGTGATAATTCAGCAGAATAAAAATTATTAACGATCCTGATTTATCTCGCAATATGGCATCGCGATTCAGTGGAGCTTTGCAATTAACAAATTTAGATGATTTCATCACTCCTTCACAGGTTAGAAAATTGGAAAATTATTACATGTCATTTCGTTGTATTTTATTTTGGCGCGAATTTCAAATTGTTCGTTTACTTATTTTAGGAATGCATCAAACCGATGGAAATCAAGAAAAACAAGGCAAAACCTGGATCAAAAATAAAAATTCAAGATGATGGATCTTACATGGAAATCTTAGAAGTATTCATTTTCACTTTAAGAAATATAATGTTAAGGCTATCTTATTTTCAGGAATTAATGTTTCCATATTTATTTCCAGGATGGTCCATTAACTAAATTGCAAAAAGTAGAAATCACATTAGCAGATTGTTTAGCTTGCAGTGGCTGTATAACTTCTGCAGAGAGTGTTCTTGTTACTCAGCAAAGTCAAGAAGAATTATTAAGGGTATTCCAAGAGAAATTGGAAAAGCAAAAGGTATACAGTAGCTAGATGTATATTTTTTCTAAATGTAATGTTACATGAGTTATATTTTCACCACAGCAAGGTGAAGACAATACTAAATTTATAGTGGTAAGCCTATCCATTCAACCAATTTTGTCCTTGGCTGAAAGATACAAATTAAAACCAGAAGATACAGCTCAAAAGTTGGCCGGTTACTTCAAAAGTGTGGGTGCTGATATGGTGTTGGATATGACTATAGCAGAGGATTTTTCATTGATTGAATCTGCCAAGGAATTTGTTGAAAGATACAAGGCTGCAAAGGAGGACTCAAAAAATCAATTACCAATGCTTGCATCTTCCTGCCCAGGTAAAACATGTAAACTAAGTTTAAAATTATCTACCACTGCATCTCATTAATTTTGTAAAATCATTTTGCAGGATGGGTTTGTTATGCTGAAAAAACTCATGGAAACTTCATTCTTCCATATATCAGTATTACTAAGTCCCCTCAACAAATTATGGGATCTTTAGTTAAATATCATCTTGCTCATGTAAAAGGTCTATCACCAGAGCAGGTCTATCATGTGACACTCATGCCTTGTTACGATAAGAAACTGGAAGCTTCAAGAGAAGACTTTTACAACAATTTAAAAGAAACTCGAGACGTAGATTGTGTTATTACTGCAAGTAAGTTAAAACGTGCAATTTCTTATAATTAGTAATCTTAAATAAATTATTAAGCTTTTTAATCGAATATTTATTTGCAGTTGAAGTGGAACAAATGCTAATACAACAAGAGAAATCGTTATCAGATTTCGATAACGCTACAATTGAAAGACCTTTTCAGTTTCAAGAGAAAAATGATAGTATCTTATTAGGTCATCAAGGCTCGGGTTCAGGTGGATACGCCGACTTCATATTTCACTATGCGGCTAAGAATTTATTCCAAGAAACTAACGCAAAATTAGAATACAAAAGCTTGAGAAATCCAGACTTTCAGGAAGCTGTTTTGGAAAAAGATGGCGAAGTGCTTCTAAGGTTCGCTGTTGCAAATGGATTTAGAAATATACAAAACCTCGTGCAGAAATTGAAACGCGGAAAAAGTCCTTACGATTACGTGGAAGTGATGGCTTGCCCAACAGGTTGATATCCAATCGTTAATTGATGCTATCCATCACAAATAAACTTAAATCAATTGTTTAAATTAAATCTTTTTAAGGCTGCTTGAACGGTGGAGCTCAGATAAGGTCACAAGACGGTACACAACCAAGAGAGTTAGCCCGAAAACTCGAAAATGAGTATTACAAACTTCCTAAAAGTGATCCTGAAAATAATACAGTTATTACGGAACTGTATAAATCGTGGCTGGAAGGCGAACATTCTGACAAAGCTGAAAATTATCTTCATACAAAGTACCATGAAGTTGAGAAAATGAACGCTACTGTTTCTATAAAGTGGTGACATGTTAAACGCTTACGTATTTATTGTTAATCAACACTTTTCCTACATTGTAAATATTTAAAAAAAATCATATTGTATCATAATTTGGGGAAGCGTCAAATGAATGCAACTGTAAATATAATGCACGTGGTATATTATCAATAAATACTTACAAATCAATAATAATTGATATGAAAATAACGTGTTTGCTAAAACAACTTATTTATAGAATAGAAGTCAGTATAACAAAAATAATTTTTTTTAAACGTATTGAATTATTTAATAGCATGACGCAAGCTTTCATTAGCATGACATTGACAAATGCAATTCATAGATTTTGTTTTTTCTAATATTGTCTCCAATCTTACAGTTTAATTCATTCAGAGAATCTCAAAACTTTTCATTAATAATCATTTCTATTCTAGCAGTAATACACAGTTATGTATTTGGGTCTAGTCACATATTTTAAATAGCAATTAAATACATTTATTGCTGATCATCTAATTTTTCTTATGGTAGGTAAGCTTAGAGTTTGTACACATAGTTACTAAGATATTTTTTTATAGACAATTAACTAAATTGTGTTAATAACTATGTTTTGACAACAGTTATATAGAATATAACATCAATTCAATAAGCTATTAAATCAATATTAAATAATTTAAGAGCTGACATTAATTATCAAAGAGTATACAATTGTTTGTAGATTATTTCTAAGAAATAAATACTTTCAAAAATTATATTTCTTTATATTCTCACAGCAAAAATGTCGAAAACAAACTGAAACAATTACATATATTATAAACACGCGTTCTCTAAGAAGTTCGTTAACGATTACATTTTTTTTCTTTCTTATCAAAATCATATGCAATGGAAATTGTAACAAAACTTTATAATTATAGTAGTTTTTTTTTTTTAATAACAGCTGAATGTGTATCACAATAAGAGATGATAATCATTTTTTTGAATTTTTTAAGATTTTTTTAACAATTCACAGTTCAAATAATCACACACACATTAAATAACATTTGTGCCAAGTTTTCAAAGTCCATTCATATAGAAAAACATATTCATTCAGCAGAATAAAGTATATTTCAGATGAATACGATTATGTTAAGCATTCAATTTGCAATAATTCCATTATATGGCCAAGTTGACTATATATTAATACATTCATACAAAATTTTAAATAGCAGTCAGCTGTAATAATCATGTAAGTTTGAAATTTCTTTCCAATTTGATAAGTACAGCATATATCAATATGAAATTTTGAAAACCTTCATAATGTGCAATTGTATAACTTGTATAAAAATTTTTATATGTATATAATAGATTTTAATTGAATTCAGACTATCTAGGACTTTGGTTGTTGCAAATGTTACCATTTTCATTGATTCTCTCTTTGGAATTGTTTAAATTAAAATCAAAATTTGCATTATCTAATATAGGCTCTTTTATTAACTTCGAAGTATCTTCATCAATTTTTGTAATTGAATCACTTTTTTCACAAGAATCCATTAACCAACCTTGATTACTGTCAATTTCACGCGATACAACCAGAAATAGTTCTTTCTCTTTACTTTCTATTTGTTCTTTCAAGTAAGTTAATAATTCAGTTTCCTAAAAATCAAACTTCCAGTTATTCCAACAAACCTTTAAGATGTTCATTAATGATATATGTACCTTTCCAATCAATTGTGGACAATCTAACTTTGAATCCAAATTATAGAAAGTACCATCAATTTTTTTTAATGCAATCCAGTGCCTCCGTTTCAATGGTAAAAGCACGAAACCAAATTTGTAGTCAGTTGGGACATTTAAAATAAAACCTTGGATATTATCGAGACATAAACATTTAGGGTCCCTATCATAGAAATATATTTGAATATTGAATAAAATACAATGGAAAGTAAAAGTTATATTCATAACAAATGCCTAAAGCAAATAACTACCTTCGTTTATCAAACCAAACAGCTTCACAACCCCTCTTTTGCAAAGCTGCCATAATAACATTTATGTCATAGTTTCCAAGTCCAAGCAAAGATTTGTGAGGATTAATCCAAACATCAGGACTTAAGCTATAACATATTTGATCCAATTCCTGCTTACTAAATCCCCTTTCTTGAAACAAATTATTTAGTGCATGGAGTGCACACAGTTCTCTAACCTGTGACACATTGATCATTGAGTAATTATGGTAAAAATATTGCATTTATGACTACATTATGATAACAAAAATACTGATAAAAACAAAATATTTCATCGATGACTACATTTTGATAACAAAATTTATGATAAAGACAAAAAGTTTTATAATTAAATATATATATACGTGACTACTAAATAATTTAACAAGAAAAAATAATTTTGATTAAAAAGAATAAACACATTATAAATTGAAATAAGGTTGAAGGAGCTAAAATCAACTTTATTGAAAATAGATTAATCACCTGGCGTTCATGATAAATAGAGCCAGGCATACCAGCTTTGGTACCCGCGACCATAGTGTCGATTCTTCTACATTACCTTAACGAACAATAAGACTATAATTTATTTCATTATTCAATTGACACGATGACATTCATTATTTGAGCAATATAAACATCGCAGAACTGAAATTTTGCTGAAAGCACACGATGACGATGATTTTATATCTATTCACTTATCCAGTATGCTAGGCATTCGATAAATGCTGATTCATTATTTATAACTTTGCTTTTATGAATAATTTTTGGCTGCTCGCGAATGGCCCGGGACGCATTAACAGATTCCCCCGCGCACGTTATTTTTTTCAACACTGAGTGATTTCCAATACATATATAGATAGATAGATAGGGTAGGGTCTCTGTCTCCCTCTACTGCTATGACTGTTATCGCTTTACGTTACGATACGCTACGCGATTAGCGGCATTAGTATGAAAACTATATATTAGGTGGGGATGAAACTAAAAGACGATCTGTTGACTTGTTCTATGATTCTCCGCTAGAGTACGCCACTTCTGAAGTGCACGTGTACACGCCTACACTAGGCTATAGGTGGTTTTAAATTTTTAGGTTATGTTATGGTGTTATGTTCAAATCTAGTTCATATCAGATGTCATTTTAGCGCAGCAGTTTTGCTTTAGCATCGCGTCGCGTCAGTCAAGAAAATAGAACAGAATTGAAAAGAATGCATTGTATGTATCCACAAGAGGACGTTTATATAAACAAATGTGCAATCAATATCTCTTTTATTTTTATTGTTGTTTCTGAAAATTCTTGACAGCAACATTTAAAAGAAAATATCTTTTTGACTTTACGTCTATTGTTTTCTTTTTTAATTGTTTTATTTTTCGTTTCTTACCTACTACTTATATCTATTCATACAAAATGCCTCCTCTTAAATGTAGTGTGATAACATGTAAAAGAAAACCGATATTAAAAGTAAGTAATTGTAATGTTTTTGTCAGCCTCTAAATTTTGAAAATGCTAAAAGCGATCATATCGATTGAAGAATATTTATTCATGTATTTTTACATACTATCTTTGCAGAGACCAAAAACAGGTGATACTATGTGCAAAGAGTGTTTTTACTTTTGTTTTGAAGAAGAAATTCATTGGACAATAATAACAGCAAAGCTGTTCAAAAGGGGAGACAAAGTAGCAATTGGAGCTTCGGGAGGAAAAGATTCTACTGTATTAGCTCATACTTTGAAACTGTTAAATGAACGCTATGATTATGGATTAGATTTGTATTTGTTATCGATTGATGAAGGTATTACTGGATATAGAGATGATAGTCTTGAAACAGTTAAGCAAAATAGAGACGATTATGGGTTACCTCTTAAAATCTTATCATATAAAGATTTGTATGGTTGGACCATGGATGAAATTGTAGCACAAATAGGAAAAAAGAATAATTGTACTTTTTGTGGGGTGTTTCGTAGACAAGCGTTGGATAGGGGTGCTGCATTAATTGGTGCTAATATGATTGCTACTGGTCATAATGCTGATGATATTGCAGAAACTGTTCTAATGAATGTTTTGAGAGGAGACATTGCAAGGCTTTCCAGATGTACAAACATTGTTACAGTAAGCAGTGGTATTGGATAAAATAGTCTAATAGATTGACATGTACTTTTATCAAATAAAAATATTTTTCAGGAAGGAGAAGGGACAATACCAAGATGCAAGCCTTTAAAATTCTGTTATGAGAAAGAAATTGTTCTTTATGCTCATTATAAAAATTTAGTATATTTTTCAACAGAATGTACATATGCACCTAATGCATACAGAGGCTATACTAGAGAATTCTTGAAAGAGATCGAAAAAGTTAGACCAACAGCCATATTCGATATTATACATTCTGGTAAGTAGTTTAAAAATTTTGGAAATTTCAATTATTGCCAGTAAAGCTTTATTAATGCATTTTTTTTCAGGTGAAACAATGAAATTCAAAGAGACAGTTAAATTTCCTACTAGAAGATATTGTACTCGATGTGGATTTGTAGCAAGTCAGGAAATATGCAAAGCTTGTGTTTTACTCGAAGGTTTGAATACAGGCAATCCACGATTGGGTATAACAAAATCAAACAAAGCTAAAAGAGCAATGGGTCTTAAAGTAGCAGATGGTTCAGAAAATAAAGGTAAAAGAAGAAAAGAAAATAAAGATCCTAATTATTTAAGTAAAAGGAAAATGAAAAGAGAACTTAGAAAAGAAAGAAGAGGACAATCAATGTGTGAGGATGGGGATACATTTACTTTTCAATCAAAAACAGAAATTACAAATAAAGAAAATGCCAAAGAGTCTGTATTAGAATTAATCCCAGAAGGTACTTCAGAAGATTTAAGTGACTTGATTTTGCCATTAGCATTATATTCTAGCGATGAAGAATCGGATGGTATCAAAGAAAAGAAAAAAGAAAAGTTTGTCAATAAAAATCAACGAAAGTCAACTTGTGGAGAAAGCTGTGGATTAAGTTGTAACACAAAAACTTCAGAGCCCTTGACAACAATTTTTAAAAAAGGTCAAACTTTTAGGAAAAACGATTTTCTAATAAGCTTCGATTCTTCTGACAAAGAACTAACTAGCACTACAGACAACAAAGAAAAATCAACAAATGATGGTCAAAGTAATATAACTAATGATGAAAACTATAAAAAAGCTACTCAGCCATCAACGTCCAAAAAAGGAATAGTAGTCATTGATAATGAAGGAGAACATTTAAAGGAAGATTTTGTAAAATCTTTAGATGAAGACTCATCAGAGGAAGAAGTATTTGATGCTATCAAAAGGATCAAAGAACAAAAAAATAATGATATTGAATGTGACTGTCCTGAATGTCAAGGAGATGATGAATTAGGTTCAGGATTTATCAATATAAAATTATTAAAAGAATTAATAAATATGGAAGAAGTACCCGAAGAAGAACGTCTAAGGATTAAATTTAACGGTAAACTTATTGACATAGACGCAATATGCAATGATACTTCTAAAACGATTATTATTGAATCTGAAGATGAGTTAGAGGAACAGATTAATCCAAGTACATCAGGTACAATTGATGAACAAGCGTCATTATTGACAAAAAATACAGTAAAGCAAGAATCATCCATAAATTCTTCTACAAATACAGAAACAGTTTCTGATGAAGAGCCAAACATAGTTAAAGCAAATCCTAAAAGGAAGGGACCGTCAATATTGTTGCCAGAAATGATGCATAAAGCTACCAATAAGTTGGATTTTTAAATTGTACTTTTTTAAATATTTCTGCAGAAAGAGAATAAATAGTTCATGTTTATATTTTTAAAACCTTAAGCTTCTTCATTGTTTTTATTTTTTTCATTTTTTCTAACTCACAAAAATACTCCCTAGAATTTATAAAACCAAACAATTTCATTTTTAAGCAATGTAGGCAGCACTCTTCTGCGTAATATTTTTTCGACAAACTGGACAGTTCGAGGTAACGTGTATCGAGCAGTCTTCGCATAAGCAAACATGACCGCACGGTAACAGGATAATTTCGCGAGGATTTGTGCAGCAAATAACACATATCTGATCTTCACGAAGTTCTCTATCTCGCACCCTTTGTCTTCTTTCTTTACGGGTATCTTCTAAAGATTTTTGTAATTCATTTTGCAATCTTTGTTCTTCTTTATCTTTTAAATAACGTTTCAACGCTATACCCCCAATAAATAATCCAATTGCACCAAACATTAAACATAACCATCTGGAACAAATAATACCAATTTTTTTTTTTCAATTAGTTTAAATTATATAGATATGCTAAATTTCCTACCAATAATCTAATAACCCAAATAAATCTAGTATTTGTACTAATATTATTTGAAAAAATACACACCTATAAATTTTCCTTTTGTCGTCTAACTTCCTAAGTAATGAACTTAAAGACATAGTTGTTAAGTAATACGGTGTACCATTGACTGGTGGTTGAAGGACTAAAGATTCTGCTTTAGATTGAGACTTTGATAATTCGCCAATCCCAGTTATAATGGATCCTTCCCTCAACATTTCTTCTGTAGATTGCAGACCACGTTGTCTTTGTCCTATAATATATGTTTTTTATAACATGATATAAGTAAGTTCTAAATAGTCATTGAAAAGAGATAAAAACTAAAAATTTACCAGTAAAAAAACCCCATAGGTAATCAACAAAGGTAGGTGCACTAGGTTCAAAGAAATCAGAAATTGTTTCCAAATCCAAGATATCAGCTGCCATTGCATCTACTATTTCAATCTGATTTTTGCCTTTTTCAAGGACAAATGGAACAGAATTATATACCTCTTGCATTGTATGTTCTTGGTCAGACCTGTTGAACGTTGAGTGATGAAGCTTTGACTAATCACAAGCGATTTCAAGTAAAGAAATAAATAAATTTACCAGTAACCAGAAGTTGTCCAAACAACAACATGTTCTTTTACACTAAGTTTTTGAACTACGCCGGTAATATCTTTGTTATTGATACTACGAATAGGTTCCCCAATGGGTTTCACAGCGCCTCTTATCGCAATGTAATCAATTTTATTATCTGCACTTTTTTCTATGAGTTCACTTAGATTATCACCAACTTCATGAAATTCTACATTCTAAACATAATGTGATTTGACATGATACAAGATGATGTAAAATAATACAGTTGTTTCTTTGATACTTACTTTTACAGCGTTTATCGAGTTTTTACAATAAAAATATTGCTTCATACAAATGCCAAATATCAAGCCATCAATGCCCAAGGCAATAAATTGACCAAGATAATCCATGATTAAGTTGCGACATTCAAAAATAAATTTTAACCAATATCCATTTTTTACCCAATCATATCTTCATCGTTAACCTTCTGATCTTGACGCTTGCCTTTTCATTTTGCGCTTTTTTTTCGAGTGACTAACAAATTTGTAATTAAATCATTGTTTATATTGATTTCCTTCTGCTCCTAACACTTATTTTTTTCTATCTACAAAAAAGCTACAAAAAATTTCGCGATATGGTCTTGGTCTGCAAAAAGGATGTTTTCGTACTCAGTTACCTACACACACAGAACCTAAAGTTACATTAGATAAAGAAGATTCGACGTCGTTCTGAAAATACACACCAGAATACGCCACTTACTCCGCTTTACGTAGCTTGTTTTTCTTTTGCATTACATAAAATGATGTGGAAAAATGATACGTACACCAGATTTTTCAATGATATTTGTACTTTTTATTCTTGAAATGTTTACGCATCAAATTGTAAGCCCTTGGAAATCAATCAACTTAAAACCATCTGAGCAAAGATGCGCGTATCAATCACTTTGGGCACAAATGTACTGCATATATCGAAGCACTACGCTACATGGAGATCGAGTTTTAAAAAAATATGCTGTCTTTTATAGATTGTCACTTTTAAATAAAATTAAATAGCCCCAGTCGTGTATATTTGTCGTTTGGTACACAAAAATAATATCCCTATAAAACTAAAAAAAAGAAAATAAGAAAGTTTTTACAAACCTTCGGGCGCGAGAGAAGACAAGTTCTCGGCACATCCTCGGTTCCACTTGGACCGTAGTCTTCTTTATTTTTTCGGCTGTCCACGGCAGCCAAGATTTCTGAAACTCGCGTATAACAACCTCCAAAAAGTTACGATGCACTTTTTATTTTAGCCCCCTCGAGTTCGTTAAAGAGGAGGAAAAAGAAAAGAAAGCGCGCTCGCGGTCGCACGCTCGCAACTAGCGCGCGTTCTCGGAAAGTTTATCCGAGGCGGCATTGTGCGCGAAAGCCCCGTGAGCGATCCTCAGCATTGGGGTATTATTAAAGCGACGAGATGCGAAAAAGCGCGGCGCTAAGAAAGCTAGAAGCCGAATCCATTGGCCCGTTCGCGCGTGTCGCGCGAATGTTCGGGCGGTGCAATATCGCGTCGGCGTACACGCGCGAGAGGTAGGGGCGTGCGTCGTAAAGCAGCCTCCTGGGAGCGCGATCCGGGGCTTTATTAATTTAAACGGTAACCCGCGAGTGTCTCCGCAAGCGAGCGCGGTCGTTCCCTCTTTTGTTCATTTCTTTTTTCCTTTTTTTATTATTTCGGCTCTCGTGCCAGCGACGCACACAAAGCGCGCAGCGTCGATGCGGCGTCCTTTGGCAGCGCGCGCTACGCTCCTCCACTCTCGTTTCGCGCGCGAGCTTATCGCTCGGAGCAGAGAAAGTAGGCACGTCGCGACAATGAGTGCCAGTTTACATGCGCGCGACGCGGCAGTGCCACATAGCCGCGGCTATTTACTCGGAGGGCGCTTGCCCCTATTATGCCAAATGCTTTTGGCCGGAAATCTCGGTGCGCCAATAGAGCTTTTTGTAAGACGCGCCTGCCGCTCTATCGATCGCTCGCGCATTCTTTTCCACGGCTATTAAAGCGCTCGTGGCGCGAGTCGCGATGAGGCGTCGACCACGTAAACCGCGTCGCCTGCAGTTTGTCGTGTTGCCGTCCACGCGATCGGCGACGTTGCAATTATCTTGCCGATTGTATTACGCGGGAATAGCGTAGCTAAACGGAATGGCGAGAGAGCCTCACGTCCAAATGAACGCAGTCGCGCGCAACAGGACGGCTCTTTTGTAAGAACGCAGGCGAGTAACGTCTCTAGTTCTCGTGCGAAGACTCGCACGGCTAAAGATCTGGAGAGGGAGAGTCAAATCATAACCCGAGTCGCGCAACTCGAAGCTGCGGCTGGTAAATGGCTTTACAACCGCGTTTGCAGTCGAGAGCGAAGCGAAGAAAAAAAACAGAGCTCGATATTTACAGCTTTATTTAGCGTGGAAACAAGGCAGAGCGAAGTCCGGCGAGGAATAAAGCGACGAATTTAATGCTGTTATCAGCGGAGCGGCGTGGCTCTCGGGGTCAGCAGTGGCAGCCAGTGTCGTAAACGAAAAATCGTAAAAATCCGACCGGGAGAGACCTTCGAGTTGGCTTGGAAACCAGTTTTTCAAAAGCAAATAGCGCGCTCTGCTACGTGGCCTCCCGGCGTACAATCTTTTTTCATTAGCGCGCTGCCGCCGCGTCGCGCTGGCGCGAATCTTCCTCTTCTTCTACGTCGTGTTTTTCGCGCCCGCGCAGCGTCGCTTCTCTCTCTCTCTCTCTCTCTCTCTCTCTCTCTCTCTCTCACGCTCGCTCTCTTCGCGCCGTGCGCGGCGACGGCTATTCTCGTTGCGGCAAGGTCCGCCGCGTCGCGTTATCTCTCTTGGTACGCGCTTCGCGGCGAACGGCAAGAGCCGCAGCCGTGGGGACGTATAGGATCGCGCGATTCTTTCGGGATCGGATGAAACTCTCGCCGGGAGAGAGCTCCTCGGGGACGCGCTCGCGCTTTTATTGCGCTTTTCGTCGCTAATGGAAAGCTCGTTACCTCGCTCGCGCGACACGTCGCTGCCCGCGCGCACGCGGACGCACTTTTATCTCTCGCTCTCCGTTTTGGCCTTTTTTTGCATTTTGTTTTTTTTTTGTTACCGCAAGCGCGGGCCTCTCGACGGAAATTGCGCCAGTTCGTCGAATTTTCCTCGCGTTCGCGCTCGAATCAAAAGAGCCTGCGCACCTACCTTGCGTGAAAAAGTGACAAGTGACCGTGGGGAGGGGAAAAGAAAATTAAAAAAAAAAAGAAAAAAGAAAAAAACAACGAAACGAAACTGGGTCGACGCGCCAAGTGCGAAACGCAACGCGTGTCATTGCGAACGCGCGTAAAGTATCCTTCGAACGGTTTCGCGTGGTCGTACGAGTATCGTGGCAAACAGCGGCCGAGCGCGCCAAGGAACGATTGCGACAGGCGCGTCGCCGTGTACGCTCGATCTTGGTCGCGCGCTCGGCTCCACGGCTGATTTTCGATATACACACACACACGCACGCACGCACGCGCACACACACACACACACACACACACATATTCGATATTGGACTGTCAGCGAGCGCGTCGGTACCTGCGCTGCTCTCTCGGCCGTTCTTTCTTCTGATCGAACGGGTCGCGACCTTTGAATGGAGCCGAACATCTTATTTTCCACGCGCTCTCCTTGGAACTTTTCCACGCCTCGGCTTCTCTCCTCGCAGTGTCAAGGATTCGCCTCCATTGAGATCGTTTAGCTGCGAGCCGCGCGTGACGATTGATACGAATATCGCGAGCGCACACGCGAGTCGCATTTAGGTCGTGACTTTCTTCTAGCGATAGCGTTTCTTCGCGTCGCTCTGACGCCGTGTTGCAAAGAAGACGAAAAAAAAAGAGGAAGAAAGCGTCGGTACGCTTATCGCTGTTGTAACAGAGCAGCCACGGTGTGTAAGTCCATCGCTACGCGCGAGGATTTAAAAGCAGCATGATTAATTGATAAATCCTTTCGTCGACACGGGCCCGCGTAGTTGCCGCTCGGTTTAATAAGCTGACGGCCGACGTTAATTATTTAGAAGCTGCATAGGCGGAAGGCGCTATGCGGCAAATCCAGTGGGGCGCAACGCCGCGATGGATTGGCGGCTGATCCTTAATCCGCAATGAAAGCGCGCCAGAGAGCTGCACCGTGGGTTTCGCTCGCGTCGCAACTGTCTCTCTCTCTCTCTCTCTCCCTCTGCCCTTTCGAATTAAATTCAATCGGGACGGGCGTTAAGGTTTACAGCTTTCGATTTTTCACAAACCCATCCACCCGCTGCTCTCTCCCTCTCTCTCTCTCTCTCTCTCTATTATATATATATATATATATATATATATATATATATATATATATATATATATATATACGTACATACATATGGACGTGCGGCAGCTTCTCTTCCGTTGAATTAGAACGCAATATATCTCGCCGATGCAGCCTTTTTCACTTGTTCGTTTCTCGGCGTTTTTTTATTCGATATCCATCGAATTCTCGCAATGCCGTAGCTCCAAAAAATCTTATCCCACGCGTAGAAAGGTAAATCATATTTCCCAATAGAGAGCAGCGCGACAAGGTAAACATTGATACCGATAAGAGAGTCGACCACTCTACCCATACGCGCGACAATTTAGATGAAAAAAAAGACGACCTCGAGATTTGTGAAAATTTTGTCGAGCGCTCGCGGCCGTTTATATTCTGATAAAGAGGTGATTTCTCTCTCTCTCTCTCTCTCTCTCTCTCTCTCTCTCTCTCTCTCTCTCTTTCTCTCTCTTTTCTTTTGAAAAACCGACCGCCGACGAACAAACGTCGCTGTTGAAAAGACGCTTCGTCACTCTCTCCTGCGCGCAGAGCATTTCCATTCTCTCTTTCTCTCTCTCTCTCTCTCTTTCCGCGGAGCTGCCGCGAGATAAGCTATCGCTGTCATTAGGAGCGCGGTGTGTTGCGTCTCTGTTGCCATTGTCGCGCGACGGAGAATTCGCGGCGGCAGGGGGATGGGCCGAGAGCGAGGGAGCGAAAGAAAAAGAGCCGATTCGCGGGCACTCTCTCTCTTCCCGGAATGTTCCAGCACTCGCGCGTGGCAAGGGGTTTGACGGTCGTAGAATGGCGATTCGCCGCGGCGGAGGGTCAGACAGCGAGGGCGCGAACTTCGTTTTCCGAGCACGCGTGAATTTTTCCTCTCTCTCTCTCTCTCTCTCTTTCTCTCTCGCGGCCGCCGCGCATACTGAGCGCGCGAACATCGGCGACGCGCGGCTACGTAACGAGGCAAGAATTTTCGCTCGAGCGCCGCTGTGTGCATCTCCGCCTTGAATCATGCGGCGGAGGCTCGTATCCCACTTGCGCGAGCTATCCTTGCCCGTGAGTCCGTTAGTCTGTCCGGCGTAAGCCGCTGCTTCGTGAACCATTTTTAATGCTCCACTCCACCCCCGATATTCCTGGTCGCGCATTCCTTGGTCAGCGAGGACGGGAATGTCGGTCGATGCGTTTTCCTTTTTGGTCCTCGAGCGCGGCCGACCGGACGAGGACGAGGCCTGTCCGCGCGTTCGAGCGACTAGAAAAGACGTCAGCGCGAAGCGTGAATCGGGAAAAAAAACGAGGCTCGATCGATCTAAATGGCTTTGATTGATAGAATGCGGCCTGTGACAATAATAATGCTTCTCAATGATCGACGCACGCGCGCACAGGCGTAATTTCGAAGCCCGATTGAACGGTAAAAACTGGAAAACGAGCTCGAAGGCGCGCGTCAAGCGAACACCTGCGTGGCGCGGGAAAACAAAAAAGTCAAATGGCCTCGCTCGTCGTGGCATCACGGTATTTATACCAGCTGCAGTCGCGCGCGCGCACATCGGTGGCTTTTATTAGAAAAGCGCAGATATACGCTTAGCTGGTGGACAAGCGCCAAACTGGGTAGCTGTCGCTCGCAGCTCGTGTCTCGCGAGAAGGAGGCGAGAGCGTTGGTGTTCAGCCATTTGGCAATTTCGCTGGAGATAAGAGTCGTCCACTTGGAAAATAGGGAGAGAGGGAGCGGAGCGTTGGTGGCATCGCTAATAAAGTGTCGGTAAAAGCGCGACTGGCTGCGGCCGTGCTCCGTGACGTAACTTACAGCGGAGCTTCGTACCTGGTGGCGTGCGGCAATGACATTGGGCTCAGCTCCCTCTTTCTCTCTCTCTCTCTAGACATTGGCGAGGGTCCAGGATGCGGCAGCGGCAAGTTTGTCTGCTCCCGCAAATTTGTCGTGTTTGTTGCCTTGGCTGTCGCGTCACGCCCTCTCTCTCTCTCTCTCTCGCTCTCTCTCCACGTACAGACACAAACACACACGCACACGCACATTACGTAGACAGAGAGATAAGCGCGTTCGCGATCAGCATTGTTAAAGAGAGGATGTGGAATGCGTGGAGGGAGGCAATTACATCGCTCAACTTTTTGTTGACCAAACGAAAATTTATTCTGGCATGCTGAATGCGAAAAAACATTCAATAACGCTCGGTATACACAGTTTCGGTAGTAATAATAGCAGCTCGACTACACGTTATATTATGATATATACAATACAATATACAGATACAGCGTACAAAAGTATAAAAAATAACTTAGCGACTCGTTTCCGCGCTGCGCTCGCTCATTCTCTCACGTCGTGCACTCGCCATCATCTCGATGTCGCGGCTCGCGACTGGCTCTCGATGCTTTATTTCATGCGGCAATACAGACGCGCGCGCACGTACACACATACACACACCATTGTACACGCGCCACGCGTTGTCTACATTGGCCCGAGAGCCGCTTTTCCCTCGAAAAGTATATATATGTACAGATACAGAGGCGCCGGCAGGCGAAAAATGCCCAATTTACATCTATGCACAGAGACTAGCTGAGATCGTGTAGTTGACGCCAGTCGATTTTCTCGTACGGCTTGCAGCTCGCCTCCTCGCAGCCTCTAGCCCACGACGGAGGCAAAAGAGCAGCGCGCAGCTACTCCTCGCTCGCCGCGAGATCAGTCTATTATTTCGCGCTCGCCTCCTCCCCTTCCCCCCTTCTCTCGCTCTCTCGCCAACTCTCTCGATGCGCCGGCGTTGAAAGCGCGCAAGTTTTATAATACTAAAGTGGCGTTCGAGCGCGCTCGCCAAAAAGACAAAAAAAATAATAAAAAAAAATGAGATTTCCATAATTGAGTTGGCGAGGCGCGCTTGCTCGGAATGACTTTATTTTTTTTTTTCTTTCTCTTTTAACCAGTGGCCCGCTTTTGTTGTTGTTGTCGTCGTCGTCGACGATATTGCTCGTGGCAAAAATTGCTTTTAACTAGGATGCGAGCGTGCACACACGCACACACGCGCATACGCGCGCGCAATACAGGCACGCGCAGCCGATGATCGAGGTCGAACGGAGCGCCGCGCGTCGGCCTCTCTCGCTCTCTCTCGCTCACTCTCGCGCGCACACAAATAGCGAAATTCTCTTTCATTGACCGCTGATTTATCCGTCGGCGGCTCTGCTTGCCGCGCACGTACGGCGCGTTCGCGATAATACCCGTTACGGCAGACGTGACGCGCGCTCACCGCCGAGTCGTACCGGCTTTCACGCGTCGGACCCCTCTCCTCTGCAGAAAAATGACACGATCCCGCGTGCTTTTCCGTTTCGCCGGCGAAGGAAAAGGCGGAGGCGGTCGGCCCGAACGCCGATGGGCCCTTCGGCGACGCGCGCGCGCGGTTAGAACCTCTCGCGCTGAGCGGCGCAGCCGTCGCCGTCGTCGTCGTCGTCGTCGTCGTCGTCCTCGTCGTCGTCGTCCTCGCGACTGGCGGTCAGCTGGAGCGGTAGCGCCGCGACGGGCCTGGCGCGCCTGGCGGGCCTGACTCTGGCGTAGTCGGCCGTGAGCATCAGCAGGATCCTGGTTCCCAGCAGCCGGGACTTGGCCACCAGGAGGACGTGTTTCTACGCGGGCGGCGGCTGGGCCGGCGCCGCCTGGATGGGCAGGCTGATCACGTAGATGTCCAGCTTCTCGCCCGCCGGCCCCTTGTCCGCGATCTCCGCGTAGTTGATAGAGTCGTAGGGCGGCGGCGCGAACAGGTGGTACGGCGGTGGCGGCGACTCCGTGACGACCGTCTGGTTGTTGCCCGCAGCCGCCACCGCCGTCGCATTGAGCACCTCGCCGCGCTGCGTGTAGGGCATGTTGAGCGGGCTGCGCGCACCGCGCCGGCAGCACCACTCGGAGCAGCTGACTATGAGGAAGAACGCGATGAGGCCGCCGAACGAGCCGATGTACCAGACGATCGACCATGGGTCCAGCGGACTCTGAGCGTCGGCGCCGTCTGTAACGGAAGCAGAAGAAAACCACTTGAGCGAGTCAGCGCGCGCACGCGACTTTCGAGCAAGTCGCCGCTTCGATCCCCAAAATTCGCCCAGTCATGCGCAACGTCATCGGCTCCTCGCGAAGCCCAGTTATTGCCTTCTGAAAGGCGCTCGCGCGCGCTTGGCTCTCTCGAAAGACTGATCGAGGAGGCGCCATTTGGGCAGCGGCCGAGTATCGCTTCGCAATCCACGAGGAGGCATTAACGCGCGAAAAATTCGACGCGAGCGAAAGCTGGGCCAACCGACCGAAACGCGAATCTAAAATGTGGACGCGAGGGAGGGGTGAGGAACCCGAGAGCTGGAAGGGAACGAGCGATCTGATCCCCTTAAATATGAATGAGAGCAGCCGCGAGACGAAGCTCGACTCCGTCTATGTACGCGTATACCGATATATACGACGGCAGGCGAGCGACAGACTTTCGAGTTATTTAAAAGTTTCGCGGCGCGCGGTTCGACGTACCTCGGGCGAGGAGCGCGAGAACCTTGGAAAGAGAGAAAAGAAGTCCGATTATTGAGTTTTGCGTGTTGCCCCCTGCGCCGCAGATTTACTGATATTGCTAACTTTCAGAGTGGCCGCAGCTCAAAGGCAATTGGCCCTTTGATCGCGCGCGTAAACTTTCAGATGTGATATTATGAATTACGTGACGCCTCGCGCGTATCTTTGAGTTAGGCGAGCGTGTAGAAAAGTTAGCGCCGATCGGTCCGATAATGATTTCACATCTCTAGGGCAATTGTGATGCAAAGGGAGCCGTAGCGAGGCTTGTACGGAATTCGCCGTGGCATAAGTCTGTCGAAGAAATTAGTTTCGAACGAACGAGCAGTGAACAGTTGGCAGCTACATCTTCAAACGTAATGAAATTTATCAGGCAGGGTTAGTTTCGTGTGCGCGACTAATTCGTAATCAGCTCACGCTCCGCCTGGCCCCGATCGACGCCGATTTTTTCTATCTCGCGGAGTCGTCGATAAATGAAAGTACAACCACGGCAGCTAGACTACACGCACTCTAGTCCACGTGTAATTCTTCATTTACATATTCATGCTGCCCTCGGCAACGGAATTGGTCGCGGCAAATTTTTGGAGCAAGCGTATTCATAACGTCGAGACAGAGAGAGAGAGAGAGAGAGGCAAAAACAAACGAAGCGGAGCGCGCCTCTCGAGCGAAATGTAAATGGCTTTCGGATGAGACGTCATCGTTCCGATACTGGCGGAATCTTGCGCGCGTCGGAGTCGAGACAGTCGAGGATGCGAGGCAGATAGCGAGCCGAGCAGAGCGAGCGACGTAATGAAATTTAGATGAAAATCGCAGCAATTTCGCGCGGCTTACGGATTGAATTACGAGATTGAGCGGCGCCTCGCGCGAACGTTACATCCCGCTGATTCCGACGCGCGTTACCTGTTGCCTCGAAGCCGAACAAAAGCTCGCGCGCGGCTTCGCCGGGGACGGGAAGCGGGTCGCTCCACGCGCAAGCGATGCGTGCGAAACGAAAGCATGCGCCGCAGCTCGCGAGCACTTGGGGAAAAGGAGGTTGGACGCTTGTGGGCGAGACCAGCGCGAAAACCTGTTGATAGCTCGTCCCGACTGCCGAAGATTCTCCGATGAAAAATGCATGCGATCACTTTCGGATGCTAATGGGGAGCTCTTATCAAAAATTTGCATCTCGCTTGCGTCCTTTTCACTCTCTCTCTCTCTCTCTCGACGATGCTACAATCTCAAATTCAAATCCCATTTCTGACTCGGCACCCGGGCAGTTGCCTTTTTCGCTGCTGCTGCTGCTGCTGCCGCCGCCGCTCGTTAAGAAGAGGAAACGAAGCTTTCCAGCCGAGCGCGCAGGGGTCCGGGGCGTAGAATCGATCCCTGGCGACGTGCTGCCTGCACGGAACGCTAAGAGCTCGAGGAGCGGAACGGAAACGAGCGCGCGTCGGCGTCTTACACGTGACTCGAGGCAATTATGCGCTCGCCCTGCAGCTAATTCGCAAGAAATGACCATCGCGGCAAGGCACCTGTACTTGCCGGTACGCTCGCTCCCCGGGCTCTCGTGTCCCAAATGGAAACGAGCGTACCGACAACGAGCCCCGGCGGATTAAGCTCCGTAATCGGGTTTTATTGCGATCTGTTACGCCGACGCTCGCGCTTTTCAGGATTCCTCCTAGACAGCCCCTCGTTGCCGCCTCAGCAAATTAGAGGCGAGCCGCGATAACAATGAAGCCGGCAAGCTTGCCGCCGTTGTTCGCGCTAATTTTTCAGATTAACTCGGCGACGGCGCGGCGCATTCCCTTTCTCCGACTCGATTGTTCAATTTTCACGGCTGTAACTCGCAAGCGCTCGAACCAACTTGCCGCGCGCTTTCTCGCTGCCGTCGGGATTACGGAAGGCCGACGCGCAACGCCACGGCCGAGCTCGCCGTTCAATTTTATGCGAAATTAGCCCGGCCGAATTTCCGGGCGCCGCCGGCCAATGAAAAACTCGCCGAGATACGTCGGAACTGTTGCGCGTACGAGGGGTCCAGACGCTCTGATCGATGGCTAATCCCGGGGCATAATTAACGACGCTGATTTTACGACGGGCCGGCTGGCCTGAGCGATAAAGCAAAACAATGGGTGAATTTCATTTCACAGCGAAACTTTTGCTAATAAAATTTGACGGAGCGAGAGAGAGAGAGGGGAGGAGGCACGGTAGTAATAAATTTTTTTTTTGATTTCGAAAATTGTTTGCACGCCGCTGTTTCGACGCTGCGCGAAGTTCGCCAACGCCGTAAAGGCAAGTTTGAAAATTTTTAACTACTTGCCTTTACGTACGCGTTCCCGCGCGCGGACGCATTTGATATTACCCGCCGAGGCGGACAATTCAATTTGACGGGCGCATTAATGAGAAAGAAAGGGAAAAATTGTACAGGCGACTCGTGGCCCGTGGTTGATTAAACGGTGACGGTTTTGGGTCGTTTTCTCGCTCTCTCTCGCTCTCTCTCTCTCTCTCTCTCTTCAATCGACTTTATGAATAAGGGATGTAATTTTGTGTAAATGAAGATTTGCAGAGTGCCGGCGCGGCCTGGGCGACTTCGCGCAGAACTACGCGGCAACTCGAGTTATATGCGCTGGCTACGGGCACGCCGAGAGTACTTAAAAGAAGATTGATACGAAAAGTTAGTCCTGCGCGCGCGCGCGCGCGCGTCGAGGCGTCATTGTGTATACTTATTCAAATTTCCCGCGCGCCCTGAAAATATCATCGCTCAACTTTTCGCGCGCGCCACGCGCCGTCGAATACAATCGGGACTTTATGAAAGTCCGTCTCTCGCCCGCAGGGGAATTCGCTCGATCAATTCCCGCGAGCGTGCAAGTTTGCTCTCCTCGCTCCCTCGCCGCACAAATCTCAGTCATCCGCGAAACTATTACTCGCGCGCGCCCACCAAACAAGCGCAGTAACCGATCCCAAATAGCGCAAAACATCGATGCAGCTGTGTTAGTTGATCTCGCATCGGATAAGGACAGTCGTGCGCTTTCCCTTACCATCGGACATATCCTTGCCGTCGCGGTTACGGTGACCGTTGCCACCAGCAGCAGCCTTTTCGGCTTCGCTCTCGAACTCGATCACGTAAACGGTTTGTCCACCTGGCGAGGCTGCCGCTTGCATGCCCATCATCGATGAAAAAGCATCGACTTCGTCGTCCCCCTCTTCCTCCTCCTTCTCGTCGTCATCGTTGTCGTCGTCGTCGTTATCTTCGTTCGCCGGCGTCCCAATGGGTTCGCGCGTCACTTCGTTGTCCGTCGTTACGAGACTGAGCGACGAGCCTGTAAAAAAAGACAAATTTAGAGGTTACATCTCGCCGCGAACATTCGGAGTCGACCTCGAGATTACATTAACCAAGTCTCGGGTTATTTCCGTCCGCATAACAATCGACGACGACCCAGTACACGCGGAAAAGCGTTTTTTTTTTTCTTTTTTTCTTCTTCCCACCGCTTAATTTACGCATAAAGAACCCACGAGCCTCCTCGCGAGAGCGTAATTGGTGCTCCGAGTGTTCCGCTGGAAAAGAAGAAAAAAAAGCAAGCGAAATGAAAGGGGGAATCCCGAATAAAATGAAATTTATTCGCAGCGGGTGGAGAGCGCGTAACTGTAAAAACACGTATCTCGAGAGTCGTAAATCCGCGCCGCTGCGGGCTCTCCTTAAACTCCGTCGTCGGTTGTCCCGATACAACGGCATCCGCGCAGCGGCTACCCGTTTTCTTTCCGACGCGTATTCTCTCGTTCATTGGGTCATTATACTCGCAGGCGCGAGTAGCTTTCGACTGTAGAAAAGTTCTTTTCTCGATCTCTCGCAAGGCACGCGCGCGCGCGCGCGCGAAGCCTTATCGGCCGGGCTATTTATAGGCCGAGCCGGCACACCTGCAAAGTGGCCGGCGCGCACAGCTCGCTGTTTTATTCATGACGGATTTTTCGACGAAGGCGGCCGCTGACGTAAGGCGCGCCGCGAATCCGTCTCCGGCGAAGGATCGTCGTGCGCCGCCGCTCGCTCGCTCGGACGTAATTGCCACTGAGTAGAGGACGCGAGGGCCGGGCGCCGCGCGCTCGCTCGTCCAAAAATATGTCCGACTCCTTCCTCGCTCGCATTCGTCGGGCTAACAAACGGAGCCGTAGAGTCGATAGGTCGCCGCGCGGACCGAGGGAACCGGTTGGGAGCACGGCGCGATCCCATCAGAAATGCGTCGCCTGAATGTTTGAAGCCACGCGAATATAAGTTAGAAACTGAGAGAACTGGAGAGAAAGAGAGAGAGTTACGGTGAATTTTTGATGACGCACCGATCGATCGATCGTAGAACAACCCGCGGGGGCCATTTTAATTTTTGATTCGGCGGCGCGCACTCGTCGAACGTTCGGCTTGATTTCACACCAACGGTCTCTCGTTCGTTTGTTCGTTCGTTCGTTTTTTTTTTCTTCAAATTGCTCTTGATCGTTGTCGTTAAAAAGAAAGATCGAGGTGGTGGGAAAAGCGCAATCGATCGGAAAGCTCTTCGGCAGCGACGCGTGGAATCATTAACCGACGGACGAGTATCGAGTAACTGGACGGGCGTCGACGGGCGTGCCGTCGTCCGCGAAGACGTCCGAGCGCATTAATCACCGATCTGCGGCGCTAAAATAAGCTCGGCACAGCTGGCTTCGTCGGCTACGAAACGGCAAGGAGCGACCGGTCTTCCGCGCACGGCTAATTATAGAACTCTCGTTGAGAGAAAACTGCAGTCGCGTGCGAAAAAGTCTGACGAAGAATCAAAGGAAACGTGCCACCGGAAAGAGTCTTCGTCTCTTCTCTCTCAAGTAGCGATTCTTGGTCGTCGTCGTCGCCGTCGTCGTCGCTGTATGGTCACGTTCGAGGCTGCTCAACAATTTTTTTTTTCCAGCCGATCGATCGACAAGAACAAGCAGCTTGATTCAATAACGTTTAGCGTTGTTTCGCGAAGGCGCGCACGCTCGTAATCGAGTTGTCGTCGAGGAGTGGAGAGGTGTTAATGAAAAGGGCTGCTTGCGCGTGGAAAACGAGCGAGAGAGAGAGAGAGATGAAAGAGAGAGAATCGATAATTCGTTTTTGCACGATAAACTTTGCAGCGTCACTAAAGGGAGAGCGAGATTTATGCTTCATAATTACCTTTGCACCCCACCAAATTAACTCGTAATGAGACCTGTTTTCAGAGCTTCTTTCGTTATCTAATTAGCGTGGAAAACTGCAAGCCAGTTTCCCCCTCTCTCTCTCTCTCTCGCTCTTTCTGTAAATGTGAGTGCTGAGATTGCGAGAGCCTGGCTACTTGGCTGAACTCCCGACCGAGTCCAAGTCCAGGTATCCGGGTACGGTAGCTGAGGTGAGAACTGAGACGGCCCACAGATCATATTTCAGATCATGGGTAGCCGTCTCTGAAATGCTCTCTCCTTATCCCTGAGACACCTCCCATTGCTAAGCTCCTTCGAGGAGCACGTGAGTACTTTCTTGAGCGCGACGTGTAGTACCCTGGGGGGTACTGCTGGAGCGATTTGACCTAATTCACATTTATTATTGATAACTATTCTCACTGCATTACTGGAATGACATACCACCAATTTACAAAATGAACTAATCATGCTGAACTGGAATGTTGTGTTTAGTGTGAACTTCTCTATGAATTATTTGAATGTTTGTCTTGTGAAGGTTATGAATGACTGAGAGAAGGTCTAGACTACGATTTATACTTGAATTTTTCATTTTTGTTTACATCATCGTTTATATTTGACTTTGATAGTTCCTTGACCAAAGTCTTGTATATGCGAGTTTATATTGAGCTAAAATATTTATATTTATATAAAAATAAAGGAATCTCAACCTCTCTCTCTCTCTCTCGTTTTCGTTGAATACGGCGACTTTCAACTTGCTAACGGCAGAAGTTTGGCGCAAGCAGCGGTTGTAGCAATGACGAGAATAATTACAATACGATTTTCATCGGTGGACGCTTGTCAAACGAGACAATTTCGTGGTAAGCTGAATAATAAGCGTCGCAGCCGAAATCGATTTAAGCCCTTGCGGCGCTGTTCTTCCGGTTTGGCAAAGTACACGACGCCTAATAAACTCGATTAGTCTTTAGAAGCTCCGTTGCCTGAAAAGTTGTTGGCCTCTTTCCTGGTTCTCTCGCTCGGTACATAAGGACACTACAGCGAGCGCTAAATCCGATTCAATGTCGGTCAACTTTGGCCGTTAATCGCGTTTACAGCGCGCCACCACCCATTTATCGATGCTTCGTCTCTCTCGCGCGCGCGGCCGGCCGTCCTTCCGCAATGAGGATGAACGGCCGGCGAAGGAGACAGAGAAAAAACGAGCGAGAGTTTTGTTGGTTTTGCACCTGCGCGTCGTTGCCGGGCGTTCCGCGCGCTGTTTGCAATAGCCGCTCGCTACACGCTGCAGCCGGGGACAGTCAATATTCCGCGGACCCGTCCGCGCTCGAGCTATGGATAATTTAATATTTTCATTGTGCGCCGCTCGAGCCTCGCGCGCGTTTTCCACCGAACGAGTCGCGCGCCTCGCTTGCTCGCGCCATCGCTCATTAACTCGCCGCTTAATCGGCGAAAACACACGCGTGTCGATTCGCTTATTCGCTTTGCTTTTTTCTTCTGCTTCCGGCCGCGCGTTACTTCTGCCGCGGTTATTAGCTTACTCCTGTTAGCCTGCCCTTTACTTTTTCGCGAATTTCCCGCGACCATAAATGTGGCCATTAGTCGGAAGATTACTTCGCGCGCCAACGTCTTTGCTAATGCAAATACTGCTTCGTCTTTAATAAAAGCGCATTTGGCTGAGCAGCCGCAAGCACTTAATGGCCCATAAAATAGTGCTCGAGCTTGCAATCTTTACGGCTCCGTCGGAGAAGCCGAGGAGGACGAGAAGAAGAAGAAGAAGAAGAAGAAGAAGAAGACGAAAGAAAAAAGAAAAACAAAACAAAAAAACGAAGCAACGTCTGGCTCGAAGAGACGCTCGGTTGCGTGTGACAATTTGAATACCTTTATCAGCCGCGCGCGCGCCTCGGGGGAAAAATTTTCACACGGGACAAAGGAAGCGCGGCGCCCGATTATTATGCCGAGTGTCTGCAGGACCCTCGAGTCCCCGCGTGTTATTATTATCATTATCTTTTTTTCCTCTTCCTCGCTCCAGCCCTTTGAGCGTCTGCTCGCGCAGTGGTTTGCGCCGGTGCGCCTACGCAGGCCGCGCTCGGGATCGCGCGAGCACCAAGGAGAGAAATATATCGGGGCCGGTTGGCAACAACGGACGCCGGCTCGATAACAGGCCAATCATAATTCGATCGGCGCGCGCCGGCGAGCGTGTCGGGGAATTAATGGGAGTCGATGAACCGCCATTTGCTCCAATAACCGCTGATTTATGGAGGCCCTAGACTTTTCCCCGTGTATCGGCTGTCTCCGTCCAACTCGCGCCCGCGAGAGAGGCCGTGCACCTCGTTATAGCGCGTACGTTGCTCGCTTTTCCGCGCGAATCTCGAAACCCCTTTTTCTTTCTGCGCTCCAACGATTATTCGCCGTACGTCGAATAGAAGAGAGAGAGAGAGAGAGGGATAGAGAGCGTGAGATTGTTCTTTGTTAATTGCTGCTTTATCGCTGACGAATGTCTAGGGCGCACTCGCTTTGGACTTGTCTGACGAGTTGCTCGTTGCACGGCTTTCGGGCTTATCGCAGTCGAGGGTAAAGGAGTGCGGAATTCGCGGATTTCGGTGTACGCGTGTACACAAGCCGCTCGTTATCGCGCCCTTAACGCGATGATTTCGCCCCCCCCCCCCTCTCCAGCTCCCTTGATTCGCGAAGTCGCGAGCATCTTGCGAACGCCAAGTATGTATTTAACGTCTTGCTCTTTGGTTTCGCGCCTTCGTGCTGAGAATAATTGCACTTTCGCGAGGCATCGAGCTCGCGGAATTCTGCCCCGGCTAACAGCTCCCTTGCCTGCTGCTTATTTTGTCTCTCTGCTTTTTAGGCTGCGCTCGTTGCGCAATTTTCGGGCGTAATTTGCGGATGATAGGATTCGCGAGCGCCTGATTTATCGCGTTAAAACCGGAATGCGCACTATGCGTATACGCGTGCCCCAGTACCTTGGATAATGTTGATTAATCCGCGAAAATTGCTGGATTTGCGACTTCCACCTGCATTCATGGCGCATGTACGCGCGACGAAAGAACAAAAATTTACCGTGACTGAGACGTACACGCGGACGCGCTTGAATTACGGCTAATCTGGAGCGCGACTCCTTGATTTTTCTTCCTATCTCGCGCGAGCG